TTGGAACTTCCTGGGCCTCACTTTCTGCCCATTGCCTCTGGTCTTATTGGTTTGCAGCACTGAGCAGAGTCTGATAATCCTCTGACACCTCCTTCATGTACTTGACTTGCTGAGGTCCCTCTCAGTTGTTTCTTCTTGAGACTGAACAGCCCCAACTCCCTCAGTCTTTCCTCATCCCTGAGGTGCTCCAGTCCCTTCAGCATCTTCCTCCCCTGGACCTGCTCCAGGAGCTCCATGTCTCTCTGGCCCTGAGGATCCAGAACTGGACACAACACTCCAGATGTGCCTCCCCAGGGCTGAGCAGAGGGACAGGATCAGATCCCTGAGCTGCTGGCAATGCTCTTACCCATGCATCCCAGGATTCCTTTGGCCTTCTTGGCCACAAGGGCACACTGCTGACTCAAAGGAAGTAGCATAAAGATTCTGATTCTGTTTTTAGGTTTTGAAAGACCACGGACAAGGCTTTCTTGTTGGCAACCAACTTAGCAAGGCAGATGTGTTTTTACTTGAAACCATTTTCGTGGCAGAAGAGTACAAGCCTGATATCCTGGCCAGTTTTCCTCTCTTGCAGGTAAGAGGATGGACAGTTTTAAGGGACAAGGAGTTGGAAAGGAGCACTGATTTCAGCTGGCTGAGAAATATGGGAGAGTGGGAGGGTGAGGAAAGAAGTGACATACAAAGGAATCAAATGCCCTAAGGACTTTTAGTGGCCTCAGATACTGATGGTTATTGCCACCTTCTGTCACTGCAGCTGTTAAAGCATAATAGAGTGATGCATATAGTTTCTTCTGCATTATTAGTCCATAATGTTACTTTCAGAGCATGGATAAAATGTAAATGTCTGACAGTTGCAATGATTCTTAAGCACAGTGTTGTTGTGGTTTTGTTTTGCAGAGTTTTAAAGCAAGGATAAGCAATATCCCCACAATAAAGAAATTCCTGCAGCCTGGCAGCCAGAGGAAACCTCCCTTACGAGAAGAAGATCTACCCAAAGTGATGAAAATCTTCTACTGAGCAGCAGCCTAAAGCCACAGAAACTCTATTTCATTGTTTCTGTGTCTGCTGATAGTGGCAAAGTGTATTTAATGAGAACAGTGAAGAGTTTTGCTCTCTCTTTCCTTAGCCATGGGACTGGTTTGAGCCTGGGTTAAACACATCCACGGGATATCTACATGAGCATACCAACAGATGAAATAGTTCACTGGTTAGGGGATGTATTGGACAACACAAGATGTCTTAAATTGCTTCAGAGAATACTTGAAATAAAGTTTTACTCTTGATGCTCTAACCCAGATTTTTCAATGACTTCTTGCTGCTGCTTATATGCTCATGGTTCGCTAGTTCTGTCTTTCTGGCATTCCCAAGAATTGCTGGAAAATGAAGAGAGTTTAGCCCAGATGTATCTGTTCTGGGAAAGGCCAGGAAGAGCCTGCAGGTGCTGGTTAGATGGGGATGGCAGGTTTGGATTCACCTTTTCTCTGAGCTTGACCTGGAGTGTGCTGAGACCAGAGGTCCTACTGCACCTCTGTTTTGTCACTAGGACATTTCAACTCTTGTACTGTAGCTTCACCAGCATTTCCTTTACAAAAGATTTATTTTTGAAGTGAAGAGCACTTTGCAGGCTCAACTGAGAAATGAATGTTTGTCACTCATTAACTGTGAAGCATAAAACTTATTGAGGAAGGAGGAGTCAGGTTGGTGTCAGGTGTTAGAGAGACCTTGGAATGTAGGATTGCGTGTTGACCTATGTCACTTGAGATAAAACTAAGTTTAATATAAGTTGTGTTCATGATAATCATTTAAATGAAGCTCTACTACTGAGAGGTTAGCAAGAGAGTTGAACACATACATATGCATACGTATGCCATGCCTGGCTGGGCTTGGAGAGAGGTGTGGGATGTG